TATATATTTAATCTATTACTTATATTTAAATTCATTCCAACATATTTATTGGGGAAACTTTTGAATTATTACAACTTTGTAAAAGACTTTGACTAATTCTGATTATTTTCAATATCTATACCTAAGACTTTAAAAAACGAGCACATGACATAGTACAAGTAACTTTATAAAGTACTTAACTAAATACTTCAAGGCTTAAGTATAACTAAAGTCACCAACTTTTAATTACTTATATTTTATATGATTGTGTAAGTTATTTATCACATTTGAATATTTAAAGCGTTTTAATTGAAATTTGAGTAATTTTAAAATTATTTAAAACTAAAATATGTAATTATTTTTTTACTATTGAATACATACATATTGATACTTTTCCCTCTAATTTTTACTTCAAGACTGCTATAATTTCTCTAAAACTATAGTTTAGAAGCACATATAACGGTTAACCAGATACCTTGTCTATGATACTGTATGTATATCAAATATAGACTATTTAATTGTTTAAGTGTATAGTACATATAATTTGACTTAAGAATTATGAACTTATTATTTTTTTATGATTTACTAACGTTTTACGAAGTGCATAATCCTATAGTCCTAGTATAAAAAATGTATCCAATATGTTTGTATTTTGAAACAAAGAAAATAAAGAAATTTTCCCTAAATACAATTTTCCGGTATGTTTATGTGATTCAAGTCCTATGATTTTATAAAAATCATGATGTACATGGTAAGTGGCGTAGCCGAGATTTCTGAAGGGAGGCAAAACAAAAAAAAACATTCAAAAACACATAGTTTTGCTGTTAAGTACCTACCTATATAATTTTTTTTTAAACATATCTAAAATTAAGATGCCAAAAGGAACATGTCTATTATTTTTGATTTAATTAAATCTAGTTTCACGGTTTTAAACTTATAAGTTATAACTGCATTCTATTCTTCATAATTTCATATTGTTCTATGCCTACGGTCTTTATCTACAATGTTGATACCACATAATACTGATAAAATAATATTTTTTAAAAATTAAACAAAACCAATACAACCAAAAAATGATTAATACTTTTCTATGTAAAATAATATGGACAATGGAGAACCATATCTCCCTTAATCCTCTCCCCCGCCATTGTTACACCATTTCACACGGCTATAGTTTCTATACATAATACGTATTACTAATACGGTATTACACACATCACCGAGTATAATATTTTAAATCATCTGTTTGATAAAATAATAAATATATCATAAATATATATGTGTATGTTAAATGATTTCTATTAAAAAGTAATATAATTTGGTATAATTGTACCGATATCAAGCACATGCATTGTACGTCTATGTGGCCCTTTAAAAAAATTATTTAATTTAAGCCAAACCTAACTGATGATCGACGGATCAATGAATTCATCAAACACAATTTTTTTGATATGCCATAACTACTTATTTCTTTAGTAACAAACTAACAATATATGTGACGAGAATTTCCAACTTCCAAATTCTATAGATTAGGCAACGTCAAGAACATCTAGCAACTTCAATTTATACAGTACCGTTATCCATATTATCCATATTTTCATAACACTGTTCATATATAAATATAATACATATTATTTATAGTATCTAATGCGGGCACCAAGTATTTATGTATCTCCGGAAATCCGGTCCAAAAACTAAACGGTAATTAACGTTTTAATATATTTAAATATTAAAATATTCGATATCACGTTCACGATATCCGATTATAATAATATATTAATATACATATATATAATAAATGTATATATTTATATTCACTATTTTATTGCGGTATAAATTTTTAATAACCGTTTGACACAATTTCATCCACAATTTGACCTTGACAGAAACAACTATTTCGATGTGAATAATATAATATGTACCTATACAAGTTCGCTCACGAGTAGAATTTAAAGTTTAAACCTTCTAAGGAATACCTGACATACGGTTTTTGACAGACACACTTGAAACGCACTGTATGCGGACATAAGATGCTCGAAGTGTCTCAAATAGTTGCAGACTTTCAAAAACAACACAATTAATTAGTTTAAATGTTTTTGAAATTAATAACAATATAAAATTACATATAAGAATAATTCATACTTTTTACATTACTTTTCACACAATTTTCAACAATTTTTTTTTTTTATTTAATGTTCTGAAAATAAAAATAAAGTATCTACCTTTCAAGGGAATATAAATTTCAATCCGGAAAAAATGTTAATTCTTAGAAACAATACTTTCTAATAATTTTCACTACATTATAACATTTTAATCAAAATGGGAATTTATAACCAATATTTGAAACATTAATATACTTAATGTTACTTGATATTTACTTAAAGTATACCCTTAAGTAAAATGTTTTATGTACTAATAAGAGCCAATTAAAATTGCACTTTCAACTATATATATTTTACATTTTTAATATATATTTTAATTTGAAATGTATTGAAGTCACTTTAGGACACACCTACACAATTTCATTTTCTACAATATTAATAAAATTATAATATATTACATAAAAATAAAATAAATAAATAAAATATTATGTTTTTAGAATTTTATAGAAAAGTACAAGTTTTCATATGTTAAATTGAATAATAATTTCTTAAATTTCCTAAACTCAAAGTGGTTAATAAAATGAGATTAAATTTCGAAATAAGTTTTAAGCTTGTTATTTATTTAATCGACACTAAGGCTTTTCTGAGCGGGTTTTGTCATGAATACAGAACTTAAATTAATGTCAAAACACGCGGACGGTTTTCGCGGTTAGGGTGAGCGCAAACTGTAACTTATTATAATAGTATAATAGTATATACAACATGTACCATGTAGGTACCTACATCAAATCATACACATTAACACGGTCGATGTTAAAATGCAATCATGTAATTCAAGCGTTTATCATTCAGACCATAATATACTACTACTACTACTACTACTATTATTATTATGTATTACTCATAAGTCATAACTCATAGGTCATACTGACATCATACACCCGACGGTCGACGACGGTACATTTCGAAATTTCCTATTCGTGAAAATTATCAAAATTATATTTCTATAGTCTATAAGATACATACGATTTAATAATAATTTAATTTTCTAAATACTATCAGTTACCTCTCGTAAAAGTTTCCCGAAGAGGATATCGAATTCATTTTTTACCAAGAATGTTCTAACATTTAAAAATAAATGTAAAAATTGTGCATATCGGATACCTAATAATATTATATCATACCTATTACACGAAATTTATAATTATATATATATTTCAATATACAGTACAATTGGCAATACACATAGATACAAAAAACTTAAAACATAAAAATCTTCGAACCAAAAATTATTATTCAATTAGTATTTTAGATATTATTATTGTACAGTAACAAATAGGCACCAAATTTTCGAATGAAATAATGGACTATATTCATGGTTTTTATTATTCTAATTTGTTATTATTTTTTTCACCATTAATTCATATAATTAAATAAATTACATTTATCAAACACTACTAAAACACAAAGGAACGTTAAAAATAAAAACAAAATATAATCACAAACAAAAAAAAAACCATGTATTTTATCAAACACCTACTAAGTTTACAGATCAATTTTAATGTTATAAATGCCAAACATATTGACTATGCTTCTTAGCTAGACCTACATTTTTCTCTACCACCAATTATACCCTTCCTCTATCATAGACCGTAATAATAATAATAATATAACTATGACACACAACAAACATATTTTTCGTTTCGCTCGCCGACCAAGAAGAAACCTTATAAAGGCGCTTCCGGTGTCTAACCATCGTCGTGGTCACCACCTGTTGTTAAAACGAATAAAGTAATCGCAACAACAACGCATAATACAAACATATTATTTTAAACGATTATCGTGTAATGATAATAAACTATATTATTTTTATTATCGCAACAGACGTACATAATCATCGTATTACAGCGTGTTGCAGTATACAGTTTGCTATAACCGTATCTGTAACCATTACGAACTCATTAATAGCATTATTGAGACAATAATAACATAATATTATATTATATTGTCGTCGTCGCAGAGTTTCCAACCAAAAATAAAAATAAAATGTAGTCTTCTAAGGAAAACCGTAACAATATACAGAATACACTTGTATAATCCGGATCCTACCTAAAGGCAGACAGACATGTTGGCTGATTTTTTTATAGGCCGTGGTGAAGGTGATAAGAAGACATTATTCAAAATAAAGTAAAATGACCCACTTCCCGATTACTATTTATATGGACCCCAGGTATATTACAATTCCATTTAAAATTTCCCTCCCTCAATATCTATGGATCCTAATTATCGATCCATAGAAATCGAAGGCGTTACAAATCATGTCTTCAAAGCCATTGCACGGACTTTGATGAATTTCTCTACTAATGAACAATAATGATAGGCGATAGCAAGTTTTCAGTTCCACAAATCACAATTCGTTTTAAATCAAGTGTCGAAATAAACTATCGGTCACTCCCCAAACACTAAAATAAATCATTTTTTTAATATTGATCTAATTTAGATCAAATGAAATTAAAAAGAAAAAATGTTTGTAACTGCATCATGTAAAAAATATTAAAATATATTCAACGTGTTACCAACATTGAGTTGCTTTCTTATTGAGTAGGTTAGTCACAAAGACACAAGTGCAAAACACACAACACGAAACACTATTAAGAATCCTTTATATATTAGTAAAATACAATATTAAATTTACTTAATACACAGATAATAAGTCCCTCATTTAAAAAAAAAATCTGTCTGTACACATTTAACAGTATCGGCTCGCGTTTACTGATTAGCCAACCTATATTATAAATTATAATAGCGTCGGAGTCTCCGAATTCCGAAATCAAAAGTCACTTTGCTAGTCTATCGGATGAGCGCGCGGCACGGAATGTTGATAACAATAAATACAATAATAACTGATTTATTATTTACCTCGGTCCGGCTCCGGTAGCATCAACAAAACGATTCAGGTCGGTCGGACTTCTCTATCCTCTTATCGTATACTTTAATAATCCGCGATTATTAATAACTAACGTTTTTTGAGGCCGTTTTCCTTACACCCGTTAACAGTAACAAACACGTTATCACATCAACAAAACGCGACACGGACTGTGGTTGCGCGTCACGGTACGCATATTTGTTTCGATTTCAGTTGCGAACCGTTTTTACCGTACGGACGACTCGGCAGTGTCGTACATCGGTTTGCCGTCCTCTCGTCAACGGTGTGGAGGGGTTACTGTGGCGGTGTGTATCGTCGGTGGTGGTGGGAGTTTATGGTATACGGGGGTTACCGGTTCCACGGTAATACCCTCTCCCAGACGCGACGGCCAGAACCGGATTGTTATTATTATTATTATTATTATTATTTACGTGATCGTTGCCAAGACGCTCCTCATAAAGACACTACTATAGTCTATAATATAAACAACACCACGTAACACCGCGGTTGCGCATCGTACGATTCGTACGCCCGTCACCGATGGTCCGTAAGCTGTAATCATTTTTCGGCCGCCACTGCGTCACACTAGCTGGAGGCCACGAATTTATTTCACTTAGACAATAATATCGTTAAGCATAGGCATCGGGTTCGAAATATTTTCCATCTCTAACACAATAACAGTAATAATGAATAACGAGTTAAGTGCGCGTCGGGGCCCAGGCCCGGATTGGGCCTGCGAGCTACCGAGGAAATCTCGGCGATCCGGTTATGAGCGTTTTGATCGTTAATTTTATTTTTTATGTTAATGATAAATCGATACGGACATGAGTTGAAAATAAAATTGAGCCGAATTATTAAACCGTACAACAGACAAATGTATAGCTGTAATCTAACGTTATAAATCCTAAAACTCGGCAGGCCGATACCTAACCTATTCGGCGCTGTCGGGGCCGACGTGATATTTTCGAAACGCATAAGTAGGTAGGTACTGTATTATAGTATTATACAGGCTATACAGTGTACGCATTACAGTCTATAACTTGTCTACACATGGGTATTACTCGAAGACGTCTTGTTATTATTCAAATAATCGAAACGACGAAATGCATTATATTATATTGTTAACATAATATTATGATATGACGTATATATCCTTATTTATAACATTGTTTTATTATACTGTTGTTTAAATATATTTAGTTATTGTCTGAAGGAATTATTATTTTCATATTTTATACAATACCTATCGATAAAGAGAAATACAAAGGAAATTGTTGTTTTATGCTTACACCGCGGGAAGGGGGGATGAAGGTCGGAATTATTGTTTTTATATAATTTCGGTATTTTGCCACCGGTTTTGTAAGTTTTGTTCGATAAGCCGTCATGATTTTCTTCATAGCCCGTGACAATCCCAGGTGATGTAAAAGTAAGTATTTGTATTTGTATAATATACGATTATTCGACAATATGCTTTTACGTGTAAAAACCGACAACAGTGAATTAAAAAAATATTCCTTTATGTAATGAGTGAAATGTAATGTTTGGATACATTTAGAATTATAGAAATAATTTAATATTTGTTTACGAACTGTTTATTGACTCGATGATAGTCGATACATTCAGCTATTATTATATAGTAATTAATAACGTACATAATAATATATTACATTGGCATATTTAGAGGGTTCGTGTTCCAGAGATTAACCTTCCCTCTCCGAACCGATATAAAAGGATCACTACAACGTTGAGATGAATTATTTACCAATTATTAATTTTCGACAACTGGAATATTACTTTAGTAATACAATATTACATAAATATAATTTAAATTATTTATTTATCCTTATAGTATGTATACACTTTATAGAATAAATAAATTAACTAAATATTTAGTATACATCTATAAAATTAATGATTCTGGTAATCATTCTTAACCCTTTTATAAACGCACATCAGAGCAGAAAATTACCAATCATGTAAAAATAATACTGATTTCACGCTGGCTTACACGCGTAGCTAAGACTAGACAAAAAGTTGAAGTGAGATTTTTTTCTATGATGCGTGCACAATAAATTTTAAAAGTTAAATTATTTTCAAAATCTTTTTAAACATTCATTATTTTTATTATTAGATATCTAAATAATACACAAAAATACCAAACATTGGATATTTTTATTGCAAACGATAAAAGTTTACATATTATAGGTTTTGTTATGAATTTTTACAATATTTTAACATTAAATTCATCAATTTTTATGAAAAAATGTATATTTTAATCTTACTTGATAACACTAAAACACATAATAGGCAAGAATATTAGAATCACATTAAGAATATAGTCAAATCGACGATTTATAACAGTTCACCAGTTACGTATACATTTTTCTCGGTAAATTACAGGAATAACAATATACGTCAATTATACATCTATCTCTGTAGTTCGATTCTTTCATTAGGTCTAAAAAATATGAATAGAAATGTTAATTTTCATTAAGATAATAAAATTATAAATCATTTAGGTATGTTATACATTTTAATAAGTTAGATATTATTATTTTTGAACTTTTTTTCCAAAAATCTAGGAATGATGCACTGATATATTAAACATTTTACTAAAGATATTTATACAATACTATTTATCTTATTTAGATACAAAAATGTTAAAATATATATAATTTAAATACCGATAATTTACATATTATTTGTTTTGATTTATAAACTATAGAGTCAACTATAATGAAAGGTGGCTGGCTTGTGGCTGCTTTAACTTTCAATACCATTAATTAGTTTAAAAAAAACAGTTTAAAATCATAATTTGATAAAATGTAACAGCTGACATAACAATACTGATAATAATAGGTAAAATATACGCGTCAACACTTATTAATTTACGTAGTCTTTGATGTATAATTTTTAAAGTGGAAAGTTTTACTTGTAAACCTTAGAAACTTATCAATCTTATATCTTTGGAACTATATTAAAATTTAAAAAGGCTAATTTTTAAGCAGATTTGATTTTTTTATATAATTAATTTCATCTACATCACGCGACGTGACCCACTATATAGACGTATACAGTAAAACTTCCTCATTATTACGAAGTCTTATTGGAAACAAAACTAAAAAATCGTATATTTTAGAAAAAATTTTCAAATAGAAACACACGCATTTGGTTCTAATTTAGTTGAAATTCTCATAGAAATTTCATAAAACTGACAATTTTAAATTGTATAACAAATATCATGAAAAAAAATAACGAATTTGGAAGTTTCACTACAGCTATACAACTATCACGGCAATAATAATTTGTTACATTAATGGTATAAAAAATATAATATAACACTCATAAAATCATAATTTAATTTAACTTTTTCAGAATGTTATAAGTACACGAGTATTAATTTATTCTACTTTATGTGTTTTGATATTAATTACTATACATTCACATTAATCTACATACATCGTTTTATTCATAATTAATAACAATTAAGACTTTACACTCTAGTATTATGCTTAGAAAATAACCATTCTATCATACATGAAAATATTCTTTCATTTATTATTAATTATTGAAAGTTAGAATGTTAATAATATGTTAATCTAAACGAGTTATTTAGTTCGAAATTCAAAAGACCAAAAACTGTGATGAATCATTTGTTTGTAAAAAAAACAATGAGAAGTACCTGTGCACTTTATTCTCATAAATATAAAGGACTAAATAAAATACAAATTACATCATGGTGTTTATAATTGTTGATAGCACCACACCCATATAGTATAATAATGACCGTATGACCATTTTATATGCCGTATGTTAATATAAATTTTATTTGATATAATTCACATAGAATCATACAAATTACATTGTTTGTATTTAAAAATTACACACATGATAATAAATAGATTAAAATATTATATCATATTATAATGTATTATGCCCTCCCGTATACTTTTAAACAAATTATAATTAAAAATATTTTTTTACACCAATAATATTTAAAAAAAAAAAAAAAAACTTACTGGACTTGATTTATCTTTAACAATATTATATTGTCTTTGTAAAACCATCTATTATATTATATATATAGTTTTATTACATCGGTTTCGCCGGTACCAAAATTTAATAAGATATCCCACACTTCTCATTTAATTTCAGACAAAAAATAGTCATTACAAAATTTAAAAAATAATATTATATTGATTAATACAATATTATTTTTTAAATCTTAAACAATTTTTAACTTCAAAAAATAAGCTTAATAAACCTTTAATAGAAATTTACCATTTTAATACATTTTTAACTTGCGTAAATTATTGTTTTATACTTATTAATATTAAAACATAAAATAAATATTCAAAAATAATAATAATATATTATAATAAATAATATAAATAAAAAGTATCTTATCGGTGAGATATTAAAAAGATATTGTCGTGTTTGATTAATAGATATTTTAAATCTTAAACAAAATTTGAATATTTGAATATTATATTAAACACTCTTCGATCCCGAAAACTTAAAATACAAACATAAGTAAAAATAAATTATGTAATACTCAACCTTAAAACTTATTGTAAAAAATAAGATAAATAAAAAAATTAATCGTGTGCGGCACCAATTTAATTTAAAATACAAAACATACCTGCTCAAAACATAATGAGATACATAAACTAAATACTACATATCAATAAATCTAAAGCACATCAATGATTTAAATTTAGGCAAAATTAGAAAAATTATTTTACTGTATATAGTGTATAGTAGCTTTATTGTCTACCCCGAAATTGAATAGATCACTATGCATAATAAATAGGTTTAATTTGAATTCAATGATAAATTACTGAATACAAAAAGTGATTCTGAGCGGAGATGATGTAGTGAGGCTAACCTATGGTTAAATAATTTTCGGGACGTAATTTGTTGGAAATTCTCGGGAATAGTAGAGAATATCGGAACACTGTATTAACCATTATGTTAATTAATGGCATATTTAAATTAGGTTTTGAATCGTTTAATAGAATACAATACACAGTTAAAATTAAAATTAGTGGAAAAAAAAAAAATGAAAAATGAAGTATACAACTAAAAAAAAAGTGTATTATGCGTTTGTACACAGAACATTTTATTTAGAACATTTGTATGTACAAATATTTAATATTTACAATAAAAAAACTTAAATTATAAAATTCAAATTAAATAATATTAAATAAAATATGATATTTTGAATGTTAAATGGTATTTTACAAAAATGTTCTTAACAATA